GGGACTGGATGGAGCAATGCTTAACTCACATAGAGAAAAGATGGAGCAAAGTCAATTAATAGTGGGGATCAGTCCCCCATGGCCAGGGGTCTCACTCTTCAACTGACACATGGAGATGATCTTCATGCACCCCTCTTGTGATGCAGGAGAGGGGTCCTTTTCCTTCCCCATGGGAAACAGGTGCAGCAGTGGAGTGGGTTAAGTACTATCTAATGCACATACTTAGCTAAACTATACCTGGAAATGTTAATATGAGCTCAGGGCAAAAGGGGAGGGATGTGCTGATAGTCAACTGTCTGCTGTGGGATGCATTTGAATCAAAATGACCCAGGAACGGAAGTCAGGCCACACTCCCATCTTATTCAAAGAGCCAGGCTGTCACATCTGGTTCTAATCACAAGGTTCATTCATGGGTCAAAGGGAAAGACAACAGGTTGCCCTTGGACTGACTTTTCACAATTCTGTTGACCCACTTTTGAGTGAGAAGACACCTTTACCCACCATGAAAAAGCATCTTAAAATGATTTTTGCTTATTTATTCCCTTCTGGAACAAGTACTATGGAGCATCTATGATGTATAAAATATGTGTTAACATTGAAAGAAAAATTATTTGCATTTGTTGAATTCTTTTCCATTTGATTTATAGTAAAAGCTCTATGATTTATGGAGGATAGATCTTACCAAGCCCATTTTACAGATAAGAAAACAGCCTTTCTAATTACTCGATCTTTGTTGTTACAGGAATGAGGCAGTTGTACTACATGAAGCTCTGGACAAAGACACACTTCCAAAAATACTGCTGTTTAGAGACATGTTTTTGAAGAAGTTTCCTTTGATGAAAAGGAAGCTTGAGGTGCGTATAAGAAAGCTTCATGCTCTTGAAGACAAAGTTGACAAGACACACAGGGACTGCACCATTGCCACTGTAGTGGCCAATACCACCAGCGTTGTCTCTGGCATCCTGACCATCCTTGGTCTGTCTCTGGCACCTGTTACAGCAGGAGTTAGTCTGGGGCTCACAGCAGCTGGGGTGGGACTGGGAATAACAGCTGCTGTCACAAGTGTTTCTGCCAGAATTGTGGACACCTTAACTAGTTTGTTTGCCAAAGCCATAGGCACCAAGCTAGCACTACCTGACGCCAACATAACGGAAGAGGTTGTGAAGGATTTATGTCAGAATACATCCGAACTTTCTTTCATCACAAAAAAGTGCAGCCGTATCTATCAACTCATCCAGAAGTATGTTAGTGTCGCTAAGCAGGCCAAAGTCAACCGTAACCTACTATATGTGGATCTCATGACCACTGGGAATATTTCAGTCTCGAGGGGTACACAGGTGCAGAAAGCCTTTGGAGGTGCCGCTCTAACATTGACCAAAGGAGCCCAGGTCATGGTTGTGTTCTCTGCAAGTTGTCTTCTGATGGATGTGATGCAGCTTGTGACAGAGTCAGTGCACTTGCACAAGGGGGCAAAGTCGGAGTCAGCTAATGAGCTCAGGCAGCAGGCTGCGGAGTTGGAGAGAAAGCTAAAAGAGCTCACCCAGATCCATAAGATTCTGCGGGAAGGGCAGGAGCTCTCCCAGATCTATGGCGTCTGCAGCAGGGACGCTCAGTTACCACCTGAGCAGTCCAGGAGCAAGGCACGCTGTCACCAGTGTGGAAGAATTTTATCTGAGGGAGAGGAAAACACTATGCAACTGAGTATTAAGGAGTTTGGCATTTCTGTAGCTAAGTAAGGCATGGGTTAATGCAGATAGTAACTGGGTTCAAGACAAGGCAGGAAATAAAGCTATGGAGTCTGGATAAACCCCAAAACTATTGCCCTGAAATAATCTTTAAACCTTAAGCCAAAAAGATCCCCTAAAGTTTTCTTAAAACCAAACGATAGTTTAGCTTCACCAGTAAAATGTTGTCTGCCTTGGGACATATGCTCTTTGAAGAGTGATCTGCATGGGATCCAATTGACAACAGCAACTGGAGTGATTAGGTAAGAAATTTAGAGAGCAGTGCATTTGTGCGATGGGGGAGGAACCACTTTGAAAAGGAGGGTGAGAATGCATGACTTGGAGAATGTCATCAGCGTCACTGAATTGTACATGAAGAAACTATTGAATTGGTGCATGTTTCACTGTATATTCTCAATAACAACAAAAATACTTTAATTTTTTTTTTTTTTTTTACAAAGATAAGGCAGGAAAGCCGGAGCCTGAAACAAGACAGGAGAGGCAACTGGAGAGTAAGGGCAATGGGAAGAAAGTTTATTTTGCACTAAAGAGGATATTGGGAGCATGAATGGAGAAGGAGGCGTGAATTAATGAGTTGAAATGGGAGAAAGCCAGAGTGCGAGTTGTTGGAATACAGGAGAGGTATTAGTCGTTCCACTGTCAACCCTCATGCTTTGTTGTCCCAGCAAGAGAGAAGACTTTCCCAGGTGGTGGCCTCTAGCCTTGTTGTTGTTGTTACATGCTGTCAAGTTGGCTCGGAGTCAGTGACTCCATGTACAATAGAACAAAACACTGCCCGGTCCTGTGCCATTCTCACAATTCTTGCTGCGCTTGAGTCCAGCACTGCAGCCACTGTGTCAGTCCATCTCGTTGAGGGTTTCCCATTTTTTGCTGACCCTCTGCTTTCCCAAGCATCACATCCTTCTCCAGGGAATGGTCTCTTCTGACAACATGATCAAAGTAGGTGAGATGAAGTCTGGCCATCCTTGCTTCCAAGAAGAAGCATTGTGGCTGAACTTCTTCCAGGACAGATTTGTTAGTTCTTTTGGCAGTCCACGGTACTTTCAGTATTCTCTGCCAACACAGTTCAAAAGCATCAACTCTTTGTTGGTCCTCCTTACTCATTGTCCAGCTTTCATATGCATATGAGGTGATTGAAAATACCATGGCTTGGGTTAGACATACATTAGTCTTCAAAGTGACATCTTCTCAACACTTTAAAAAGGTCTTTTGCAGTAGATTTGTGCAGTGCAATACGACATCTGATTTTTTGACTGATGTTTCCAGATGTTGATTGTGGATCCAAGCAAAATGAAATCCCTGACAACTTCAATCTTTTCCCATATATTGTGATGCTGCTTATCGGTCCAGTTATGAGGACTTTCATTATGTTGGGGTGTAATCTATACTGAAGA